TACAGTATGAGACAACTGTAAGTACATGTACATTGGGGTGAGCTTAAGCATAGATAATATACTACATAAAAGGGATTTAAACCACCATTTGTGGCAGGAAATGCTAGTTGTCAATACCTTATTAAATTGTACAAATTATTAAAATAAAAGCATTTATGAAAAATTAAAATAAGATTCTGCAGTATTGACGAAGGAACTTTTCTGCTGTTTCTTGAACACCCGAAACAAAATATGATAGCTTCTTTGCTATTGGCTATTTTCTCAATTTTACAAATAGTATTTATAGCATTTAAGAAAATCACTACCTACGAAAGTGTTAGAGTCATATAAAAAATAGATATGTGAAATGAAAAAAAATTTAAATTTATATGTATGGTAGAATTCAGATGCAAAAGTATCTTATTAACCTCCATATATCTGTGTAAAAAAATAGAAGGCTGAACTATGTAAAGCTATTGAATTAGGGGTACAAAACAAAAGTATTTTTTCAGACAGCATTTACATGTAGCTGTGGATTTATAATAGTCATGAATCATTTCTCTTTTAAAAGGGTCTATTAACCTCAGACCTCAGAGAAAAAGGTACAAAACAAAACTGACAGTTAGGACAACTTGACAGCTACACTTTAGGACAGGGTTTCATACGGATCATAAGTGCAGTCCTCTTGAACCAGGTATCAATGGATAGATATGACCTTTGTCTCTTTGGCTGTTGTAAAGTTGCAATGGTAGTTCATACTAGACATGAATTATAAGCTGCAAACTGCAGTAAAGGTTAGAGTTGCACAGATACAGAAATTTACCGATATTCCGATAACCAATATTCTATTGCCGATAAAGACCGATACTGATAACCGATCTGATATTAATAACTGATATTAAAGTTTATTAAGTAATTTTTATAAACTTTAATCAATAACATAATTTATATAACCTAAGTTTTTTTTACCTAAAAGTAGTATTTCTGGCAAGAATTGCACACAGCAAATCTACTGTCTTCACTATAATTTTGTAATAGTCCGGGCCCATATACATGATCATTTTTTTGGACATCTTTGACTCAGTAATAAGTAAGCTAAGCCTATGCAGGTGGACTCACCCAGCTTGT